CGGGCGAGTCCGGTTCGACTCGGCGTTTTTTAAAACGCTGGTTTCTCCTTTTCTCTGCACTTGCTCACGATTGTCTTGCCGATTACTCTCTCTCTCATTTTAAAATTGGTCCTCAATTCCTTTTTTTTTTTGAAATTTCAGTATTTTTTTCCGTACTTTTTCTCTCTCCCTTTCATTTGTCTAATTTGGTTTACAAAACGGACGGTATCTCAGATCGGGTACCTCAAACACCTATATGGATTGATGAATTGGCGATCTGGATCGAGAATCGGCCGAATCGATCGAATTAAGCCTTAAAAAAAATATTAAAATTCATTCTAAAATGTTGTTTTTTTAAGAATACAGTAAGAAATAGGGATACTACATTATTAACTTTCATTTTTTTTCCATCAATTTACGAATATTGAGATGTTCTTTTCCTGTATAAACTTATTTAAACCATTAAATTTATATCACAAAAAAAAAAAATTATAGAATTATCATGGATGAAGTATACATCATACATGGACAAAAAAAATATGATACTTGTTGTATTACCTTTTATTTTATTTTTTTGAGAAGAAATATTTGTATTACTTTTTATTTTTTTGACGAGAAAAATAAGAAATAACAAGAAATATTTGTTGTATTAAGAAATACCTTTTATTTTTTTTTGACAAGAAATACTTGTTGTAATACTTTTTATTTTTCTTTAACGAGAAAAATAAAAAAATAACAAAAAATACTTGTTGTATTAAGAAATACTTTTTATTTTTATTTTTGACTAAAAATACTTGTTGTATTATATTTTATTTATTTTTTGACAAGAAAAATAAGAAGATATTGTATTACCTTTTTTTTTTTTTACCAAGAAAAATAAAAAAATGATGGGTTTTTGGGGTGCCCGATCTGGGGCACCGATCCATTTTTTAATTATAATATAACATTATAATATAGTATTATAACTATTAATTACAATATAATATTATAATATTACATCAAAATAATTTAAAAATATTAGAAAAAACTTCCATATAATTTAAAAATAATTTTAATGTTTATAAAAATAATTAGATTGACATAAACTTAACATAATTATATTTAAGTTACTAATATAAACAAACAACAATTTCATATAATTATGTTAATTTTTACAAATTATTATTCTTGTGGACATCAACTACGCGTAAAAGTAAAAAGAATTGACGAAGGATCACTTTAGTTGACTAAAGATCACCCTTATAATGTAGAACTATGGATGCCCCACAAAAATCCATTAGAAAAGGTAGTTTTAATGTTGAAAAACTGATTGATCATCTCGACATCGAGATGTATGACTATGAAAAATAAAAAGATTTTGTCTAAAAAATAATGCATTTTACAACATATTATCTACACCGTCTATTTTCAAGATTTTTATATGTTTATAGATCTACTTGATTTTAACTATTTTTAAAATTTAAATTTTTATAGTTAGATATAAAAATAGATTTTGAGATAATCCTAAGAACATTTTACATCAAAATTATATACATGATAAAATCTGAAAGTGCACTTTACCTATACAGCGAAATTTATATACATGATAAAATCTGAAGGTGCACCTTACCTCTACAGCGAAAATTATATACATGATAAAATCTGAAGGTGCACCTTACCTCTACAGCGAAGGATGCATCCGTATGCCAACTGCACCCTTTAGAAAGATATGTTTTTTATTCTAAAAAAAGAGATTATATTAGAAAGATGAAAGTTTCGTTGAAGCACTTGGTAAGGAATTTTATGTAGGCCACATTTCATATATACATAAACGGGGAAGTTTCAATTGTTGAGAGAGACAGAGGGAGGGAGGAGGGAGGGAGGGAAGACAGGGAATTACATGCCATCAAGAAAGAGGAGAAAGAAGAGGTTTGGTAGCTAATCCTAAAAAAATTTCTTTTAGGGCGTGCTTGCTTTTCTGATTTTTTAAGATTTTGTAAAAATTTTGCATTTGTTTCACACGTTTCATGTTTAGAACCAGATCTTTCAGCAAAAGTTCCCCATTTTTTATTAAAAAGTGAAAGATTAAGTTCTTAAGAGCATAAATTTAATCTTTTATAATTTTTTTGTTGATCACTATTCATTATGCATAATATAAATACATAATATTAATATTATTAATATGATATAATATAATATAATATTATTATAACATAATATTATAAAATATAATATTATAATTTATAATATTATATTATATTATACTATATATTTATATTTATTTTAAGAAAAGGTTTTTGTGAGCCAATGGGCTCACAAAAAAAAATAAACCCAATGGTCCAGATTGAATCTGGGCCGATCTAATGATCACGGATGCCCGATAGTGTTTGAATTTTAATTTTTTTTCTACAAATCCAAATCACTTGAAATTTTAGACGCGTGTTAATAAAAAAAAAAGTGAATATTCAAAAAATATTAAACAAAAATATTTTACATGAAATAAAATGACCAAAATACCCCAAAAAATTTTCAAAGGTATTTTGGTCATTTTTAATTTTACGGATTATTTTTTTTATATTTTTATTAAGTGCGGCTTGATGAGAAGAACATTCATCTAAAATTTCAAGTGATTAGAATTTTTAAAAAAAAACTAAAATTCAAATACTTTCGGCCGTCAAATCGGCCCAGATTCAATCTAAACCATTGAGTTTATACTATTATGTGAGCTAGTGGGCTCACCCTAAAATCTTCCTTTATTTTATTAATGCAATTTATATTATATAGTATATATGGAAGATGCATAAATAGTGAGATGAGAACTTCCAAAATAATCTTCACCCCTAAAATCATCAATAAAAAGATCGACCTACAAAGAGAAGGCATATGAAAACGCATTCACTCCTAAAAAGTATTTGGATAGATTTGAGACTTAAATGGGCCATTTGGTCACTGGAAGCTGGAAATCCATAGAACCTGGAAGTTATGGAATTCAGAACCACGAACTTTGGGCACCTCATAATGAAAGCAGTATTTTTGACCTAAACGGTTGAAGTTATCATTGATAAGATGGTGATACTTGTTCAATAAACAATATCTTAAACGACACTTGTTAGGAGGTACAAGTTGGTTCAAGTGGAAGGTTCAAAGGGCAAGGGGTAGGCCCAAAAGCACATGGGTAGAAGTAGTGAGAAAAGATATAAACACTTATAGCCTCACTGAAGCTATAGCCTTTGATAGAGCAGAATGACGGACCACGATTCGTAGAACTAACCCCAAATAATTGAAAAAAAACTCTAATAATGATGACGAAACAACATCTTAAAATCGTAGTTCATTCACGATAGGTCTCACAAAATGGATAGTTCAGATTACAAAAAGTAAAAAGTCAAATAGTTGTAGTTTCGCACTAGATTGCATTTGAATTATTCATTTTCATGAATTAATTACAATTACCTAACTTACACGTTACACATAATAACTAATGATGCCCATCAAGAAAAACAACAAACTGTCCATTTTTTAACATCAATATAAAACCATTAAAAGTTCAAATAAAGAGTACAAGCTATCAAATACATAAATGTCCTTTTTTGCATTGGTATAGATAGCTAATGTCATGAGATTCAAGGCTGCGTCGACTTAATTGGAAACAAAAAGATCTGTTAAACAAAGAAGGCGAAATGAGTCGTAGTTTTAAAAATACACTGCTGCAATGCAAAAGATGCATTATTCAGAAAAAATGCTGATAAGCCTAACACTGCCCAGAAACCCAACAAAGCAACCAGAGGAGCAATAACTACAAAACAATCCAATTATAAGACAAATGACAACCATTTTCAATTCCAATGCGGCTACAATCCATGGAATCAAATTTCAGAGGTATCAAAGCCAAAAGGTATACCCAAGTTTTTATTCAGCGAAAAGTGGCCTCCTCTTCCTCTAAGCCAAAAATAGAAACAAAGAAAATCGAGTCTCAGCCAAACTAGGCCTTTATATTTGGACCTCTAATGAAATTTCTACTGAAGTTCTATTGGAATTCAGATAATTCAAGCTTTGAATTTAGTGTATGGAAAATCTTCTCTCTTTGAACCAATTACAAAATCCAGACCAAGGTCTAATAAAACCAAGAAATCCACAAGAAGATTTACAGCTAATGATATCATTCCTTTTCCAAAACTTAAAACAATCAGTTTACTGATAAACTGTAACTTGAATGTAAGCATCCATAGTAATTTCATCTCATTCCATTGGATCCTCTTCATAAGGGCATCATTAGCATTTCAATTAATTGCGAACACTGATTCACAAAACCATCTAATGAAAACCAGGGGAATAGCCAACAACCTTCCCCAAATTTTCCTAACATACACTATAACTAAATTATGATAAATTTATGCAAACAAAATTATGATAAACCATCTAATCCAAACACCTTTCTTTTGATATTTATGCAAACAGAATTATGATAAATTCAGGTTCTCTCCATACAAATTGCATTTACCCATAAAATATTAATTAACTCGCTTCAACGAGCACCAGTCATTATAATTTTCCTAACATACACTAAAACTAAAAACATAAAATTTATAGTTCATAGCCTTTTTTCCAATTAATTGGAGTTGGCAACATGAATCCTGGTCCACCAATCTGCTCTATTAAGGGCCATACCCTCAGTGCGGCCATAAGTCCCCATATCTTTTCGGACTACTTCAGACCACGCCCTTTTGGGCCTACCCCTTACCCTTTTCAGTCATTCCATTTGAACTAACTCGTACCTCCTAACAGGTGTTGTACTTGGTCGTTGCCACACATGGCCAGCCCACCGAAGTCTACTATCTCTTATCTTATTGTCTGTTGGTGCCACACTTAAATTTTCCCAAATGGATTCATTTCGAATTCTATCTCTTCTTGTCTTATCACTCATCTATCTCAACATCCTCATCTCCACTATACTCATTCTATAGATATATTGTTTTTGTCCGCCCAACATTCTGCCCCATAGAACAAAGCTAGTCTCACAGTTGTGTTATAGAACTTGCCCTTCAGTTTCATTGGTATGCAGCGATCACATAAAATTCCAGTTGCACATCTCCACTTTGTCCACCCAGCTCTTATTCTGTGTGCGACATCTTCCTCAATCTCTCCATTTTCTTTGAGAGATTGAAAATTTATAATTATATATGTTTCTTAAAACCCAACCAAACCAAATGTACATTAAAATTCAAAACAAGAGAATTGCATTTGATAAATAAAGAACCAACTAAAATCAAAATATTAATCAAAAGGAAAGGTAAGAAACAAAACGAGCCATGGATTAGTTGAAGAATCGAATAGCCATATTTAAGTTGCAGACTTTTAAATGCAACACGTCCCCATAGGTCATATCCAATAAATAGAGCAACAGTCCAATGCTTCCCAAGTCCAAGAAACTGAACTTCAAAGGCTCATGAGGCTCTTTGATCTGATCTGAATGCCATTCAAAGGCATCTCCAAAGGTGGAAAAACCATCTCCCATTCTTCTACCTAAAATTCCGGTAACCTTCATGATCCCACTCTCAGACTTCATTCCAAGCTATTCTTTGCTCTATTAATTCCCCTACACCATTATGCTTTCTTCTTTCTGAAGAATTTATTGGATTTTAAGGCAGAAGGATTTCTTGGATTTTAAGGCAGAAGGATTTCTTGGATTTTAAGGCAATCAGATATTGTATTAGGGTTTAATGAAGCCAAGATATACAACGGCTGATCAATGACCTCCAAATGAAAACTAGGGCAAGTAACAGAGCCTCGTAATCGGGGTACTGCAAAAAACTTGGCAGTTGTAATCTTTTGAGGTTCAAGAGGAGAGGGGGGGGGGGAGGCTTTTGTTTTTTTTGGGTGGGGGCAAACGGGGTTTGAATCCCCAGCTCATGTTCCCACTCCCTCCATGCAAGGGAGTGAGGGTGTCACCATCCAACAAAACACCCCCGCCCCCGCCCCACCCCCCTCCGTGCGTCACTTGAAGTCTTGGTACCTTATTTTTTGAGGTACCGAAACTTCAATTTCTAGGGGTTATTGTAGCAATCCCTGTCATGAAACAAGGGCAGTAACAGGGAGTTTGGTCACCAACTTTAGACTTCAGGTTACCAAATGGTCCCAAAAGGGATCTTTCCAGCATATATCCAAAGATGTTAGCATGACCATTTTGGGTGAAACCACTTGGTCCCAGGCACTCTGCATTGGAGGTATCGCTTACCAATTTTCTAAGTTCTTTTAATCACTTTTACAGTGAAAAGAATTGGAGAACAAGTCAAATCAAATTAGATGAGTCCTAGGTTGACTTGGTTTTAGCAGAGGAGTAGGAGAACACATTCATCCTTCTAAAACTGCTCAAGCAGTTGATACCAAATATTATTGTAAGAGCAGAAAAACCATCAAGGGATAATTTCCATTTGGAATGGCATAGAACTGCCAAATAAGAGCCATGGCAGTTTCTCGTTGATTGTAGAGAACCTCAATTCCATTTTCAAACCCAAATAACAGCTCAAGTAGTTCCATGTCTCGGGCAGTAACACTTTGACATATCGTTCTTACAATGAAGGTGGACGAGTTCTTATGTCTGTTGTACTAGGAAGCTTGCCAAGAGCACATTCAATAACTGTATGCACATTGCATGTATTCACACTCAGCAATGGGCCTTTCTTATAAAATAATAGAATAACTTGGTGTACAGAGACAATTGCTTCACAACAGCTTTCATAAGCAGTCTTCAAAAACTCAGCGAGTACGACTATGAACCACCTGGGTCACTCGGAACCAGCACCCTCCCAGTCCCAGATGATCTTAATTCAGGTCTCTCGCATCTAGCCGAATCTAAGGCTTGACCCAATCCATCTTGGTCTTTCAAAAACCAGTGATTCTGGTCCAAGTATTGACGAGTCATACTCGGGGACTCAGCAAGCCAACTGAGAGCTGCTCGCTGCCTGATTCTATGCCAGTTCTGTGCTTTTAAACAATGCCTGTAAGCATGACTTTGGATATGTATTAATGTTTACAATTTATGGCATCACCTTCAAGCTTCAATCCTATAGGAGGAACAGCCGCGACATAGGATTCACCTTTAGAGCATATATGATAACAGGTAGTGTCTTCCTAGAAGTTGAGAACTTCTTAATACTGTTCAAGTTTCGTTTTTGATAAAAAAATAAACTTCAAACAAAACTTCAAGGAACTGTTCATGTTCCAATCTTGCGTTAAAAAAAAAGTTTCAACCCAAGGGTCGGAACTAAACTTGGAACTTTTTTTATGACCCCCCCCCTCCCCGGATAACCCTAGTTCCTCAGCATTTCGCAAGAGCAATTCACAGAGAAGCAGAGTCCTCCGCCATCTCTCACACAGAAAAGAGCTTGCAGTTCACAGAGAGCCCTCCTTCCACCATCTCTCACATAGAGAAAAAGAGTTCACAATTCGCAGAGAGCCCTCTCTCCGCCATCTCTCACACAAGAGAAAGAGCTTGAAAAATCTATTGTTGGGGAATCATCAGTAGGTCGAGCTCCATTGTTCCTTGGCTTGAGTCACCAACCTCCCACCTTCCATTACCAGGTATGGTCTTTTTTTTCTATATACCTATTTCTCTTGCTCGAAAAATTAGGGTTTCTCTGTGCGAAGATCTTCTAAGATCCTGTGATATTGGTTGTTATGGCTTTTTTTCGTGCTAAAAATGCTTGATTTGGTTTATCATATGTGGGAGAAATTCTAGGTTGCCCATATTATGGAATCAGAGGGTTTCCTTATTTTTTTGTATTATTCCATTTTTCTGTGTTTATTTGTTATTGATTTGATTTTGTGGGTTCCTACTCCATGGTCCTCCGTTTTGTAGAAGTCCCAATTGTAAATTGTGAATTTTGGCAAAAGCCCTAAATTTCATTGGACTGGTGTTTGTTTGCATATACGGTTTCACTTCTGGTGTTGATCTCTATATGATTTCCATGCGGTGCTTTTTATTGACAATTTCTAGAAATTGTTTATAGAATTTTGTGCTTTTTCTTTCTTTTTGGCAAGACTTGGCAAGACTTTGAGCTCTGATCTCTGTTTACAATAATTTTTAGATGGACCATACATTTTTTATTGAGCTCTGTTTAAATCTATTGATCTCCGTATTTGTTCTTGCTTTTTTTACTCTGAGCTCTGATCTCTGTTTACAGTTATTTTTTGATGGATCATATATTTTTTATTGAGCTCTGTTTAAATCTATTGATCTTTGTGTTTGTTCTTGCTTTTTTTACTCTGAGCTCTGATCTCTATTTATAGTTATTTTTAGATGGACCATATATTTTTTATTGAGCTCTGTTTAAATCTATTGATCTCTGTGTTTGTTCTTGCTTTTTTTACTCTAAGCTATGATCTCTGTTTACAGTTATTTTTAGATGGAACATACATTTTTTATTGAGCTCTGTTTAAATCTATTGACATATGTGTTGTTCTTGCTTTTTTTACTCTGAGCTTTGATCTATATTTACAATTATTTTTAGATGGAACATACATTTTTTATTGAGCTCTGTTTAAATCTATTGATCTATGTGTTTGTTCTTGCTTTTTTACTCTGAGCTCTGATCTCTGTTTACAGTTACTTTTAGATAGAACATATATTTTTTATTGAGCTCTGTTTAAATCTATTGATCTCTGTATTTAAATATATTTGTTCTTGAGCTCTTGAAGCAAAGAGCTCTTATTCTCTGTGTTATTGATCTCTGTGTTTGTTCTTGAGCTCTAGAAACAAAGATGTCTTATTCTATCTGTGTTATTTATCTTAAGGTATCTATAGACTGCTTTAATTTTGAGGTCCAATGAAGTTTATCATGGAACATTTGTGTCAATTTGTGTACAAATGTATCTCTCTAGGACGCTTCTCTCACTCATCAATTTAAAACTCTCTCTCTCTCTCTCTCTCAATCCAACATACTTTACTTTCAATTGATATTGTATTCATCTTGCCTATTATTTAAAGCTAATCCAATACAGATACCCAGTTCTTCTTTAACTTCCCAAGAGGTTATCAAACAAGAAACTAGGAACTTCTTAACTTCCCATGAGGTTATCAAACACAGAAGCCAGCAACTTCTTAACTTCGCAGGGAGTTCATCAAACACAGAAGCTAGGAACTTCTTTAGTAACTTCCAATTTACAGTTCATGAACTTGCTTCCAGTTATCCATGAACTTGCTTCCACCCTTGTCAATACTGCACCAAGCACTAGTCCAAGAGATCTCTTATCAACTGACACCAAGCACCAGTCCAAGAGTCCAAGAAGGAATCTCGATCCCCACTTCTTACAGGTTGCTCTTAGACACCCAAAGGGAAACTAGTGGCTAAGAAAATGATTGATTTGGATCTTAGTTGTCATCATGTAAATTCCAAATAAAGCAGCTTCTTATGTTTTTGGATGTTGTAAAGTGTGAAATTGTAAATAAAGCATATATTTATCAATGAAAAATCAGCTCCATGTTATTGCTAATAGAATTTTTGTTTTATTAAATTTTAATAAAATTTCTGTTTTTTATTAATTACAAAATTGTACAGAATGTGCTCCCAACCTTGAAAGCTTTTTACATGCATCAATCTATCAATCCCACTCCTGCTCCACGCGACTATGATTTGAGTTGCAGGCAAAATTGTTGACCACTAAAAAGTGCTAGTTCTGAGTGCATTATCAAATCACTAAATGATAAAATTGGTAGAAATATTGAAGGTTCTAATCCACAGCCTGCGAATGCACATGCATGAACAATCAATTGTAAATATTCAGAAATCTCATATTCTACATGAAAAACAATTATTAAGCAACAAAAATTCATAAATAAAATAATAAAACTAAAAGTGTCATATTCCTTAATTGTAATAGAAATAGAAATTAAAGGTGTCCTTATAATTTGAGAATTTATATTCATTTTCTAAGCAAAATAAACTTTCTTTAGAAATCTATTATCCATAGATATCTTAATTTATTCCATTTATTTAAATGGAAAAAAAATGAGCACCAAAATTCTTAATTTAAAAGTAAAAATTTTGTGAAATTATATTTCTTAGTTAACAAGAAATAAAATCTTATGGAAATCCAAAAGATTAAAAATTCATCTAAACCCCATACATGCTACCTTAAGGAAAGAGAAAATATGCAATGGAACCTTTTGCATAAGAACTCTAGTCTTCAAGGAGAGTTTTGTATGCTACAAGGAGAGGGGAAAGATCTAAAGGCTCCAACTGACAGCTTTAATCACATGATGATGATTCAAACACATTCATCATAAGCAATTTTGTACACGTAGTATAGATTAAAGCCTGCCTATAAGCCCATGCTCACAATGTGAATAGCCCTGTGGGAATTCCCTTGGCAACAGATATTTTGAAATATTTCTTCCCATGAGTTCATGACTTTAGGGAGTTTGCATCCACCCAGGGTAGAAGCTTTCTTGTGGCTTTCAACACCAGGCAAGACGTTGTGAAGCAATCATCCCAAGCAACGGAGGCTGGCAGTTCCACGACTAAAACAACTTTTGTCCCCTAGGCTAAACTAAAGAGGCGCTTACACCATGCTCCTTCATAATGACGACTGCATTCAGCTTGGAATACCTAAGTAGAAATCATGTGTTTACATGTGACATGGTGTCATTATAGCTTGCTTTTCTTGTTGATCCAAATGAAATTTCCTTTAGTCTCAGTACCTCGATATCATATTTTTGCAAATGTGGAAAAGCATATAAGTTAAAAACTTCATTATAAATATCCATTTCATATGAAACGAATAGATAAGGATGTTAAGGTTACATTTGTTTCTTTTCTTTTTTTGATATTGGGAAGAGGCTTGATGGTTCCCTTTTTCAGAAATTGAGGTTAAGATTTCAATTGAATGAATCCGTTGCAGGCATAAAAGGATGACAGATCAAGGTGGATCCCCTAAAGACAAGATTTCCTCCAAGTTCAAGGAAAAAATGGAAGCAATCCTCAGTGATGAAACCTGAAGAATAGAATCCTACACACCCTTACACAGATAATAGAGCAATCATTAGGTCAAAGATGATTTTATTGTTTGTTTGTTTTTATGATTAATTATCCTCAGTATGACAATCTATGGAACTAGTTACATCAGTGTCTACTTTATTATTTCAAATAATAATCAGATTACTTCCAAAATACAAATAAACAATACAAACTCACTAACAAATTCATTTTTTTCATGATAAGTCTATTTCAAATAGTATCCGGAACACTAAGACTAAAATAGACTTGGTGATGCCCCAAGACATTTCTTAATGAACGAAACAACAGAACAAGGAAGTCAAAAGTCATATTAACCCATGCAAAGTTGGATGACCTAAGTAAGTACTGCATAGGGGCTCCAATAATAGCACAATCATATGCTACTCACGTTGATTTCAGTGGCTACTCTACTGATCAGCTAGAGACTAGCTCATGGTCACTGTAAGGTCCAGAAGCGAGTTTAATCACGAATTGTGAATGAGGCAAAAGAGCACAAATAAGGCGCAAATCAGATGAAGTAAAGACCTTTAGGATGGAATGAAAGCATGTCCAAGCTGCTTCAATGAGAAAAATCAGTTCAAGAGTCCAAGATAATTTGGTCCAGATATCCAACTCAGATTCATAGGATCAGATTAAAACAATGTTCAAAAACAAGGCTCAGACTCAGGACTCAGCAGGGTCCAGTGTCCAAGTTGATTATACAGACTTGGAGGGGTCTGTCAAAGACTCAGCCGGGTATGTCAAAGACTCAGCCGGGTATGTCAGAGACTCGGACAGTCTGTACAAGTTATAATATCAAAATGTAGGAACCAGTCGAGTTTTGGCTGGTTCGGGCAAGCCCGAGTGGACTCACCTGATTTTTAGAACACAAACAAAAACAGCGGCACATACTTTGAATTGGGAAAAATGTATTTGTACTTTATCTTTTGACAGATCGTATGTATCAGCAATGACCAGTTACAGTGTTCGGTACCAGTTTCTCAAACTAATCCACTACACAATTGTGAAAACATAACCTGTAAAACAAACATAAGTTTACCATATGCAATCCCATTCTTTTAGGAACAAAAATGAGTGCATTGTTCGCTTTGGAAGCAATCAAAGAAAGAACAAACATCCAGATAATAGATGCTAACGTGGCTATAATAACATGGAGCAGAGGCCAACAACATCGATAACAATGATGATGGTAAGGCAGTTGATGCCTGTCTTGATATCATAAAATCAAAAAATGAAGCTCAAAGAATATTGAAAAATAAGCTAAAAAGCGATTCAAATTATGACGTGATGATCATGCAGTATGACATCAAAACAAAACTCAAGCAGGAGTGTAGTGACCCACATATTAATCAATCCTAGCACATGCTTAATGGTTTCATGACTCAGTGAAACTGACTGCTTTTGCAAGCCAAAGTCAATGTTGACTAGGGAAAAAAACAAACATTACGTGTCCAAAATAAGAAATAGAAAACGAGAGAGAGAGAGAGAGAGAGAGAGAGAGAGAGAGAGATCACTATATCAGATTCATCTTAAGATGCCTCCACATCACCTGAGTCGATTTACAACCAGTCCTTCTGTTGGATCTTCAAAGGTAAATAAACCTCCGACAAATACTGAAACCCAAATGAGCTCAATGCCTGAATCTCAGCCTTCTGCCTACTTTTTACCATGATCCCTAATTCCTCAACCCATCCAGGATTCTTCTTCACGAACTCTTCCTCCAACAAGTCCTTACCAGTCTTCACATCCTGCTCGGTCATAGGCAGTCTACACTGCTCTGGTATCTTGTACTTGTCCAGATCAGTGGGCCTAATGCCCAGCCATTTTATATCAGGCGTAGTGAGATTTGAGCTATCATAAGACATATTCTTTGAGCCACACATATAAACTGATAAGATCTTCAGTCCATATGGATCACTATCAACTAGTGCCAAAACTGGAAGCTTCAACTCAACTTTCATCTTCTTCAAAAACAATCGAGTCGCTACATCAGGTTGACCCTTTGCTGTAACAATAACACACGGAAACCTGTTATAGAATCGATCCTCTGCAAGTCTCATGAAAGCTGCATCTTTCTCGACCAGAAGAATGAAATGGGCATCACTCTCCATGTCACTAACCCTATCGATATTGGGGGGAATTGCTTTTCCACCAACCCCCATTCTTGTACAGTCGATGCGATCACCATTATCACTGAATATCAACCTCCCAACCACTACTCCTTTCTCAGATGCCACCACATTGAGGCTTGATCTTGTACAACCAAGCATACAAGAAACATCGTCCAGGATACTATCAGATTGACTCTGGTCTTGAAAAAGCTTGACGTCAGTGTAAAATAGGTCACGTTTTGTAACATGGATTTGCTTGATAGAGAGCTGATGAACAAGTTGCAGGATCCTTGTGGTAATGGTGGCTTTTCTAACAGTCGAGAGGTTAACAAACTGGCGAGAAGAGGACTTATCTTTGAGAACAATTCGATCTAGCTCCGGTACATAGAGCTGATTCGAGTTGTTGCGAGAGGGTACCTGGTAAGAGAATCCATTACCAGCAAGGATCGAAGCAGCAATGGAGAGGATGGTGTGCTCTATGGCCAAGCGAACTGAGGTCGATTCAAGGTCAACGACTTCTCTGCAAGCAATGCCCAGATTTAGGTCAGAGAGAGAGAGGGACTGGGGCTTCTCTTTCTGAGCAGCTCTAAGTTCAGTAATGGAATTAAGGATTTGTTCGTCTGGTTTTAAGCGTTTTTTGAAGGCAAGTGCTCCTTTAGAGGATGATGCTTCCTCTGAGTCTGAGTCTGCTTTTACAGGTCGTTTTCTCTTGCGGTCCGCCATTAAAACTCAGGCTCGAGATACAACGAGAGAGAGAGTGCAGGAGGAGGGGAGATTAAAGCGCTTGGATGTGAGACAAAAAAAGAGCAAGCAAGCCCTAGGGTTCGAGGGCGAGAGATTTGGCGGGAGTCAGATTAAAACGCCGAGTCCTCTTTAAGCTCAAACCTCAAAATAAATTTTGTCGAACTCGGCACATCACGCTATCAAAGTTGTAAATATAGCTACAAAGATAAATGATCTCGTATACAGGCACATAAAATAAAGTCTCACCTCAAATCCTTAGTTCGAAAAGTAATTGTCAGTATCAATAATAAAATTTCAACCTTAAAAATTATACAAATGTTATATGTCCGTGAACACATATTTTTAGGGTGAAATGGACGTTTTGGATTTGTTACGATATAAATTAAGCTGTTTGGATACCCAGAAATATATAGTCTGTAAAATATATTATCGGCGTAATATATTACTGGCTAATATATTTCCTGTAAATGATCGTTACTGTTTGAGTAGTATTTAGATGCTGAGTACTATTTAGATGCAACTGAGAAATACATTGTTATTGTTTGGCTATGTCTGGAAGAAATATGAAAAATGCATTACCAACTTTTTACCATCACGTGCTTATAAACTGTCATTTCTTTCTTTTTTGTCACAAAATTCCACTAAAATGTAGAATTATTATTTCTTTTTTTTTTGTTACAAAATTCCACTAAAATATGAAATTAAAATCATCATCATACCATTCTAAAAAGATTTCTATTAATAACATCATCACCATTCCAAAAAAATGTTTTAATAATAATTTATACCATTTTATAGTCATGACACCATTTCCTACTCATTTTACATACCTTTGGCACTTATATGAAATCACTATGTCGACATTAGTTTCAACATGATAAGTCATTGGAACAATATGATTGAATAACATGATTTTATTATGATAAGCTTTATTTTTATTTATTGTTTACAGAAGTCTTTCAAATGTCTCTCTATATAATTTTAAATAACTAATAAATTTATAGTACTAAAACATAATGTGAACCCTAAATTTACTAGTTATTTAGGGTTCACAAAACATAATGTGAACCATCACGTTACGCTCCTCCCCTCATTTGAAAGCATCAATGTCATATAATAATAAAAAAATTCACACAACATAATCCTCATAAGATATTATTAAAATCTCAATTCAAATAACATACATTTTTAGTCTCCTCCAATACTTCAAAATTTTATACTTCAATTACTAAACTTTTTAGTTTACTAATCAAACTTCTTCCCATTTTTTCACTCGTATCCTACCGATTTTGAATTTAGTATCATAAATTTATTGTTTATTTGAAATTATATTGAGAGACATTTGAAAGACTTTTGAAAAAAATAAATAAAAATAAGGCCTATCATAATAAAATGATGTTATTCCAATCATATTATTCTAATGACTCATCATGCTGAAACCAATGTCATGTTAGAAAACATGTGATTGCATATAAGTGCCAAAAGGCATTTAAAATAAATAGGAAATAGTGTCATGACTGCAAAAAGGTACAAGTTACTATTAGAAAATCTTTTTGGAACGGTGATAATGTTATTATTAGAAATCTTTTTGAAATGGTGTGATAATGATTTTAATTCAGTTTTTTAGTGGAATTTGTGACAAAAAAGAAGGAAAAGATAATTCTGCATTTTAGTAGAATTTTGTGACAAAAAAGAAAGAAATGATAGTTTATAAGCACGTGCTGGTAAAATGTTGGTAATGCATTTCTTATATTTCTTCCAAATATAGCCAAACAATAATAATATATTTCTCAAGTTGCATCCAAATACTACCCAAACAGTAACAATTCATCTATAGGTAATATATTATACAGTAATGTATTACGCCAATAATATATTTCACAGACAATATATTTGCAATTTTCAAGCATCTAAACGGCTACTGAAACAATGGAAATGCCATTAAATGTACTGAAACAATGGAAATGCCTTATTTACTTGTAATCTATTATCATATCAGGTAATAAATTTTGAAGTACCCAAATGGCCCCTTAGTTTGAAGTCTGATTTTTTTTTGCAACAATCTTCAAGCGGGGATAATCTTATTTTTTTTGCAACATAATCTTCAAGCCGAGATGACCTATGTAAAGACTTTCCTGTACTTGAATTGTAATTTTTTGATGAGTTATAGGATGATGATTTATTTATTTTAATAGGGCTTAGCACTATCAAACCACTTTCCTTGCTTTTTTTTTTTTTTAGGTCATGCTTGATAACGCAGAAAGCAGCGCAAGTCTGTCCCTATACTGTAGTTTTTCCCTGTTTGGAAAGTAAAACTAGGGAAAATCAATTCTCCCGTATTACCGTTTCAACTTCCCGTTTATTCAAAAACGTCTCTTTATAGGGTTCAAACAAGAAGTACCTCTTCCATTTTGGTATATATTAGTGCGAGCTCTTGTGGGAGCATACTATGCACTTATTTTTTATAGTAGACGATTAACTTGGGGAAGATTTTTTTGATTTAGAACCACCTAAAAATAACTAGATGATTATATTCAAAATAAAAAAGAATTTTGAGTTTAATATTTAGATATCACCTTTTAAAAATTTGACAGTTTCTATTCAATCTTGAAGCATTATTTTTTCAAGCACATAAAGTATGTAATTTGAAAATCTTTTTATCAAGTATAGATATTGGTTGAAAAGTTTACATCCCAAAATTTAAGTCCTAAAAATACTCCTAGATTTTGCCCGAGGTAATAAATGAACAGCATGAAATCTTTTGGCAATATGATCTATATATACTGCATCATCAAGCCATCACAAGAACAAAAGGAAAACAATAGTAAGAGAGAAGGTACGGCAAACAGTCCTGGAGTTAGGATATGGTCTTCATGAACTAGGATATAAAAAGCTAAGGATCAACTTGGATGTCAAAGAAAAAAATATTCACAGTTAAAAAAATCTGCCGAGTTTTTCCCACCTCAATTGGAAAGCATTCTCAACTTATTTTATTATGTTAGTAATCTGTTTGGATGTCTAATTTCATTGATTTGTCGAACTAGCCTTTACCCCATCTTGGTAATTTTTGGGATCAGGGGTACCAGGCTTCTTCAAGGCGCATCCATCACATCAGTTGGAAATGGCAGTTTTGATGGCAAGATTAGGGATTAGGAAGGTCATGGCCGTGGCTCCCATGTCCTTGTAGGCCTCGATGCATCTCCTCTCAAAGGTCCATCCAGAAGAAACAATGAATGGGTCAACCGTTGGAGCCATGGAGATGGGGTACAGGAACTCCGATGGCCATTCTCGTCGAAACTTCAATGGCTGAAAAGAAACCTATGAGAGATCGTCCACCTTGCTTTCCTACTACCCATTTCAAACTCAATCCTCATAAGCGTAAAAACTAACTTCTCCAACCATCAAACCCAAGCCGGATTTGACAGTTACAGCCAAGAAATGCAGAGTTATCCTCACAGAGAAAAAGTAAAAGAAAACCCGACCAAATTCACTACAGATATTTGATGAGCTTCAAGAATCTCAAGAACCCAACCCTGGTCACTTCAAATGCAAAGAAGGAAACCCAACTATAAATTTACAGAGATTTGATGCCCCACCAGGTGGTTTTCTTCTCATCCACCCAAAAAAGAAAGAAAAAACCGATGCACTCCTAAATGGAAGAGGAAAAGACAGCTCGTTTGATCAGCGATCCTTGAAAACCCAAATATTCAGGTCAATCTCGTCTCTCCAGGTGGTTTTGATCAGCGATTCTTGAAAACCCAAATATTCAGGTCTGTCTAGACGACAAAGGAAAAGAAAAACCAGCTCGTTTTCTTCACGGAGAATTGAGGATCTTGAGGATTCTTAAAACCAAGAAAAACCAGGTCGTTTTTTTTTCTTACAGAGATTTGAGGAGCTTTGAGAGAGTTAGGGAGAGAGGCGCGGAAGGAGATGAGGGAAAAGCAGGAAGGAGAGGGAAGAGCATGAGGGTTAGAGAGAGAGAGCCGCGAGAGGGTAAAGTTTGAAGCAATGGTTTAAAAACCGGATCGGTGACCGGGATCGGGCTTTTCAAAAACAGATCCGGATCGGCGAATCGGCGATCTGGATCGAAATCGAGTGATTCGGTCAGAATAAAGCTTCAAAAAAATCCAAAAAAATTATTAAAATTCATTATAAATATTGGTTTTTAAGAATTCAATAAAAAATGAGGGTACTCCATTAAGAATTTTTCATATTTTTGAATGAATATGCGAATATTGATATGTTCTTTCCCTGCATGAACCGCCATTCAACATTTAATTTACAGTATTTCGTGCTCATCCCTACACTGTTGCTGTTGGGACTCGATATGTGAATAATATGGCTGGGATAGGGTGG